ACAAAGCATTTTCTACTATCAGTTGTCAGCCATTTTTGAGACTCATACGAGAACAGTTATCGCCTATAACAAAGCAATACTCACCCATTTCTTTTGGATTAGGGAAAATGTAGGGATGGCTCAAACTGGAAAACAGCGTGTCCGTGAACCAGTTACTCAGGTCGTCGTCTTCAAAAACAGAAAGGGGAGTCATGTTGGACATTGGCAAAAGAAGCGTGTCGTGGTCATCGTATTGATTTTTGATGTCCGGCTGACTGCCCTGCGACAAACAACAATTAACAGTATATTTTTCTTAAAGCAAAACGCATCAACATCTGGTCGCATGGCAAAGTCGCATGGCAAGTACTAACTTCCTTGTGTATTTTCTTGCGCATTGAATGTTTCAGGAAGTACTTTCGCCAGTGCATGTATTGAGTGGCCACTGTCTCGATTCGTCGCTTCCAGTACATACCTTCGACGACTACCGCCTAAAAACAAGAGCAACAAGTTTGTCTTCCAAATAATAAAACTTTACCTCTGGTTTCCGATGCCAACCGTCTTCCGGTATGGAATAAAAACAGTATTTCGGCGGTGCGTTTAGAACAACTAAAGAAATAGCATAATGACAATAATAATGAGAAGAAACAGCATTAACAAAAGGCAGCAATTATAAATCAGTTGAAAAAGTTAATACTCTGAAAATTTATGATACAAATTTTAAAACCAGGTATAAACAGATGAATAAATTATGGATCCAACAACCAGCTCAAAATGAGGTTTCTATGATAGCGAAAAAATCTACATCTAAACATCAATATCAGAAGATGAAAACCTAGAAAATCTGGAGAGTAAAATCAAAGCAATTATTGGAGGGGTTGCCGCCATCGGATCAGTGAGATACGACAACTAACGACAATTAAAATCAATTGATAAGTTACAAGAAATTTACGCCGCTAAATACAACCCTGAGTTTAAGAAGCGCAACACGGCTCCCTTGGTAGAGAGTGCAATATACAAATATGAGCAAACCACTTGAGTTGGTTTGCTTCTAATGCAAATAAAACGAAACTAAAAATAATAATAAACATCAAAATAGATTCTGTATGGTAGAATATAAAATAAGCATTAAAATACGCCAGAGTATTTGAGCTGGTGCGCAACTTTTAGAAGACAAAACTTCGCTGAGTATTCCACAGTCCCGTTGCTCGTAACTTCTTAGGAGTCCTCTGGTATTTGAGAACCTGTAGTGCTGAATATATCTCACATCATTTTGTTCGATACAGCAACTTAATGCTCACAACCAACAGTGTTCAACGTGCTGTGATGACTTATATACAGTTAAAACAAAAAATATACTTGTAGCACTGCAGGTGCTTAAATACTACCACTGGTATCTGGAAACGCGGACGACGTTATAATACGCCGTACGGATATATATTCACCCACAAAACAAAAACAGTTCACAATGGAAACAACGACTGGCAGCAGGGAATGAGGTTATTAACCGGTGAACCTTTGTTCGGTTTTACGACAAGCCAAAGAAAAAAAATATCACCAAGGTAATTCTTTTCGATAGGATAAAGTTTGAACTGGAATGATGATTTTCAAACATACTATTCTGATACTCCACACCGCTAAGCCTTCGAGCAGATAATCTAAATAAATGCAGATGTGGCACTGAAAGTTTCACCTCAGCACTCAGACCTAACCAATGTAATAATGACTTCCTTCTCTTCCTAGACACTGGCATAAATGTTAACATTTCCACCCACCTACACATACACAAATACACCACAGACATATTTCTGACGAATTTTAACAAACTGATGCACATCAATCAGTCCGAATGAATTATAAACGATAAACCGTAACTCTACATCGATGAACCATAAGAAAACATGATTTAGAAATACTTACACTGTCGGTGCCATGCCCGCCATATCACGTTGTTCAGTCGTACCCTGTCTTTCCAGCCGATCTTCAAACTTTGAAAGTTCTTCCATTTTGGCGTCACAAGTTTGCTAAAATTGATATTCCAGCTAAAACTGCTTTCACAACAGTCATGGGCGAGAAGATTATCAGCACAGGTCAAACGAAAGGTTTCATAGTCACTGTCAATGTCATAAAAGAAGAACGAATCAAAAGAGCTAAAAATCAACGATGCATGGAGAGCAATGATTCGACCTGGTCTGTCATCCAAGCTTCAGGCTGTGCAGCACAGATTCGGGAAGAAACCAGTGCAGCAGCCCTTCAACCAAAACAGTGAACTGTTAGACGCACGATGACAAAGGGAATAAGGTGCAGACAGCACGGCACAAATGGAACGAGAGAAGGTTAGGTTTTGAAACTACGAAGGTTGTAGGAGAATTTGGCCGAGATGTATGGCAAGGTGTTTGACGGATGAGATGTATGATCTATAATAACGGATACGACATGACGAACCCGGAGATGCGTGCATCGCGTGCATTGATAAAAAACGAGGCAAAAAGAGAGAGGAACTAT